CAATGGTAATAGAGAGGCGATATGACACTGTCTCGCCTGGTCAAGTTACATTCGCACTCCAGTGTAAAAATATTTTAGTACGAAGCAAAAATATGCAGACAAATTAAACTAGCTCTGTAAAATTGCCAATGTCCGAGCAATCACTGATCATGTACGTCTTGTACTAAAAAGAAATATCGGAAATATATACAAAGCAGTATCAATGTATCATAAAGAATTTTATGATAAAAGTGCTAAATTTGAACTTTCATTTAATATCTCATTATATTCGTTATTAGGCGTATTTTAAACTACAAACTTTTTAACTTTCATTTGATTTATTCCATCGTGTGACATAAATATAACTAATATCCTGGAACTATTTTGTGTAAATGGTTTCTCCTTAACTTGTGTCAATTTAGATAAGTTCTATTTACGAAGCTTTTCCTTTGAAGTCGACATGTATACTTCGTTTGATTGCTGTCAGATTAACCTATGCATTAAATCAGTTTCAGTTTCTTTATTACACTCTTGACACACTTGTGTGTGTAACAAGAGGTCAAAAATTCAAAACAACATACACGGCAGACAGGGTAATCAGTTACTAAGTTCATTGTAATATCATAAAGAATTTTATGATAAAAGTGCTAAATTTGAACTTTGATTTAATATTATCATTATATTCGTTTTTTGGCGTACTTTAACCTATAAACTTTCATTCAATCTATACCATCGTGTGACATAAATATAATTAATATCCTAGAACTATGTGTAAATTGTTTCTCCTGAACTTGTGTCAATTTAGATAAGTTCCATTTATGAAGCTTTTCCTTTAAAGTCGACATGTGTCATTGTTGTCAGATTAACTCATGCATTTACTTTGTCCATCTTATACCATATATCTTTCAACTTGATTATATAACGTAACAGGATTAACTTGTCATACCAGATCGGACACTGCATTCAGTCTCCGACAAAGGACAGCTAAATTGGCTTACCTGATCGGGTACGGCCGAAGTCTGAAAGGCCGATTGCTAAGAATGACAGATGTCACTCAAACTAATTACTTAATTGCTTTTGTGTTAATGTACTTAGGACACGATTACGATTTGTAACAGCAGTTAGGAGCTAGGCATCGGACTGTACGGGTGTGTTTTTGGATACTCCAGAAATCACCCACCGACCTACACGTCTCCAGAACTTTTACTTTTCAAATTGTATAACAATACCCCACAAAAGTGTAGTTATAGTAACATATGAATAATTATATTAAATACGCATTTAAGTAACTCATTCAAGAATAATAATGACTAATTACAAATTATAAGCATATAAAGGTAATAAATAACAAATTTATGCAATTTTAGAACAAACTGCTATTGTATGACAATAATCAGCGTGAAATACATTGGTTTTCTACATTTTTAAGAAAGTAGCTCAATCTGGATAATAAGAGTCAATTACAAATTTTAAACATACCTCTCATTTTAGCTTAACTTGGATTTATACAAAAGTAATGTGCGATGTATTTATGTTTATAATTAGTTATCGTAGCATTATTACCTTGAAAAAGATAGTGATATTAATCCCCAATACCATTATTACTGTTGTGTTCTACACCATTTGTCAGGGAAAACCAAGAGAGCCGCCATTCAGGTCAAAACAGTGTTGATTGAATATCCCATAATGCATTGCAAGGCATATACTTATACAGATGGATCCGGATTGCGGACCGAAAGTCATAAACACATAATTACAACATTCCTCCACCACAGTTTTGTTTGTTCCAGTCTGAAAAACCATTTACCACAATTTAATCAGAACGTCTTTACCGATGGATTCACATGATTACTGTTCATGGTACTATTAATCTACTGGCTAATTAACAGTACTTTAAAACACCAATTTCAATTTATCAATTTAGTCATTCAAAGTAATACTGAATTCAATAACAAACTTAATACTGAACTTGAACATATCTACATAGGACTGGGTATTATTATGCCCAAGCACTGTACATGTGTAACTACGTCCTAACAACCTAGAACTTGACAAAGCCGTCAAACTTTTTGGGAGTTCCTGCATTTCTCTTCGGATTACGCCGGATAGGGGTGTCCACAGTGGATTTCTCAGGTAAGTTCGGACAGGCGTTGGAATCACTTGTAGTTTGCGCCATACTATCACTTGAAGTAGGTGGTGTTGTTTCCTCTGGTAACACAATGTGATCCGCAGTCGGAAGAGTTTGTTTGGCAATTGGCTCGTACTCAATGCTACTAGGTTCGACGTTCGAGTCCCTTAACTGATCCAGATGACGCCGCCAAAATACGCCAGGAGCAACATCAATATGGTATGATACTGGACCAGTTCGAGAACTGATGGTTCCTGACGTCCACAATGGTTTACTCAATCGATAGTCTCTGATCGCGACTGTTTGTCCAGGTTCAAATGATCGTTTGGTATCATGCCTTTTCTCGACCATTCTGCTTTGAGCATCTTCCACATGACGTTGGATGTTAGGTTTGATCAAGTCCAACCTGGTACACAAATTTCGACCCATGAAAAGCTTTGCTTGAGTTTCGTTGGTCGTTGTGTGTGGTGCATACCGGTAAGCCAACAGAAAGTTCGAAAGTTTCTTGTTGATCGAACCATGGTCCTTGGCGCTAGATCGCATGGCCATTTTGAAAGATTGTACAAATCCCATTGGATTTGACGAAATTCCGAAATTCCTCAGAAACAAACTGAGGGCCATTATCGCTAACAGTTTGCCTAGGAATTCCGTTCCTTGCGAATATGGTGCATAGAACCTCAATGGTTTTCTCGGACGTAGTCGTGTTCATTTGTACAACTTCTGGCCATTTCGAGTTGGCGTCTAAAACTACGAAGAATTTTGAACCGAAAAATGGTCCCGCGAAATCTATGTGTAAGCGACTCCAAGGTCGGGATGGCCACTCCCATGGATGTATTTGAGCCGCTGGTGGTGCATGTTTCACATTCTGGCATCCATTACAACTTTTTGTCATTGTCTCAATGTCTTTATCTATGCCAGGCCACCACACGTAGCTTCTGGCGAGTGCCTTCATCTTCACCACACCGATGTGTTCCGAATGAAGCTCCTCTAGCACACGCGTACGCAGACGTGGCGGAATTTTCACACGAATTCCCCATAGGAAGCACCCATGCTGTACAGTTAGTTCGTTTTTCCTTGTAAAATATGCCTACGTCTCACCGTTACGGATATCCGGATTCCAACCCGACATGACGCATTCATAGACCGATGACAATGACGGATCACGAAGTGTGTCGCGTTTCACTTGGTGGTGATTCACCGGAAGTGTGTCAAACTGTGACAGGTTCAACAATTCTACCGCATCAAGTTCCTCCACTTTGACCTCATTTTCAGCATGTCAGCATTGCCATGTTTCTTCGAGCTTTAGTACTCAATAGTGTAATCATATCCTGCGAGAAATAACGCATATCGTTGAAGTCGTGCAGCTGTTGTCGTAGAGATCCCTTTTCGAGGGTTGTAGATGGACACCAACGGTTGGTGGTCCGTAATCATGCTGAAGTGACGTCCGAATAAGTATGTGTGAAAACGTTTCACCGCCCATACTATACCCAAGGCTTCTTTGTCAATTTGTGCATAATTTCTTTCAGCTTGATTCAAGGAACGCGAAGCATACGCAAGGGGTCGCTCACTTCCGTCAGCCATGACGTGCGAAAGAACGGCTCCTAAGCCTTTTGGAGAGCATCACTGGCAACTCTCAGGGGTAACTCTGGATCGTAGTGTGTGAGAACTTCTTTTGATGTGACCATACGCTTGACCTCCTCAAACGCGTTTGGACATTCCTCGCCCCACTCCCACTTAAAGTCTGTCTGCAACAATTTATGGAGTGGGTTGAGTGTCGCGGAAAGGTTTTTCAGGAAACGGCCATAACAGTTCACAATTCTCAAAAAAGATCTTAGTTCTGTCGTGTTAGTTGGTGTGGGCGCCTTTAACACGGCTTCGATTTTCTCTTGCGTTTTGTGTAGTCCCTTACTGTCTATTTCATGACCACAGAAAGATACACGTTTCTTGAAGAATTCACACTTTTCCAAATTTACTCGAAGGCCATACTGTTGAAGTCGTTCCAACACAGAACTTACGTTTTTCAAGTTTCGTCAGTGGTTTTTCCCGTAACTATCATGTCGTCTATGATACACTTCACCCCTGGCAAGCCCTGCAAAATTGTATCCATCGTTCTTTGCCAAATTGCCGGAGCTGATGCGATACCGTATACAAGACGGTTAAACCTGTATAACCCCTTTTCTGTGTTAATCTTCAACAAATAGCGCGACTCCACATCGACTTCCATCTGCAGGTAGGCTTGTCGTAGATCCAACTTTGTGAAATGTTTCCCTCCTGCGAGGGCCGCGAAAATATCCTCAATTCTAGGTAGGGGATATTGATCAATCTCCAAGGCCGGGTTAACGGTGACCTTGAAATCACCACACAGACGGACTTTACCCGATTTCTTGATCACTGGTACAATTGGAGTAGCCCATTCGCTATAGTTCACTTTGGTCAAGATACCATTTTCCACTAGACTGTCAAGTTCTGCTTCGACTTTCGGTCGTATGGCATATGGCACTCAATCTGATTAAAAGCATCTGTTACATGGCTCCGCCTGAACATCTGAATGTGCCGCGGCCAGGGCCTCGTTCAAATGACCTTTAGATGAACCAATCAGAGGCGCGCTGGCAAAAGTTTGCCAACTAATCGGAATATCATGGTTGATAGATAAATAGCGAGGGGTATCGAACAGATTAGTTTTCAAAAACAAATATGGCGGTGAGAACTGACGTTTCTACGACGCCAAGAAAAACGTTCCCTAATAAATACTCTAATAAAGCTTCGAATATCTTTTTCTGTTCGGGTTTCAGGCGATCAATCTCAAATAACTTCAGAACTTTGGCATCATTCTCATCAATGTCCGCCATATTTGTTACAACTCCGAACGCCCTTTTGAAAGAGGGTCTCTGATTGGTCAAAATTTAATGAGTATTTATAAATATAAAGGTCACCTGAACGTGACCCTGACCGCGGCACACTCCGACGTTCAGGCGTAGTACGAAGTTAACGAAGCCATGTAACATGATTTTAATCAGATTGTATGGCACTGACCTAGGTTTGCAAAATGTTTGGTGTTGCATCATTTTTCAAGTTTAGTTTGGCCTTGACCCCATTTACTGTCCCAAGGTCATCTCCAAATACATCCTTGTATTTGTCCAAAATGGTTTGTAGTTGGGCAGGCGGTTTTACACGCTCAACGTCATCACTGGTGTTGCGAAGTAAATCATTGCGCTTCGCTGAGATGGACTTGATAGTCGGCCAATCTAATGTGATGTGTTTCAGCCAGTCTCGTCCAAATAGTATTGGGCCTCCCTTCTGGACTATGTATAACTTAACCGTTTTACATTGTTTCTCATATTCCACCTTCACATTGGCCACACCCAATGGTTTTAGTTTTTCACCAGAATATGTCTTCAAACACACATCAGGACGTGTCAAAGTCCGAAGAGTACTTTTCGTATGATTTCTGCTTCATCACTGAGACAGCTGCACCAGTGTCTAATTCCATGTCCACTTCCACACCGTCTAACTTGGGTTTTATCATGATCGCGCCATGTTTTGATTTCTCAACCGACATAATTTCCAATGATGCGATGAAATCATCATCATCCTTTTCATCTAGTACATTGTATATATGAACCTTAATGTCCTTCTGTTTGCAGGCTTTCCTACAGTGACCTGTTCGGCGACATCCAAAACACTCCTTATCTTTAAAATAACACTCATTGGAATGGTGTGTTGTAGCATTGCAGAGGTAGCACTTCAGTTGTTTCTTGTTTGTGGGTTTATTCGAACTACCCAAACTGTTCGGTCGTCGTTTCGCAGGTTCGTTGCGATTTTATGAACGGTTGCTGAAGACCCAGAACGTAATTCACTCGCGTCACGTGCAGCTGTTTCCATCGCGAGGGCACTATCATGCTCACTTGTAGTTTCGAGAGTCAGAGTTGCCTCAGACAGCAACTTTTTCTGTATGTGCTCGGATCGTAAACCACACACCAAGCGATCTCTCAGCGCGTCTTTCAAATTCCCAGCAAATTCCCAGTGTTCAGACAACTTTCGTATTGCTGCCAAATATTCACGGATGTTTTCTCCATCCTTTTGTTCACGTTTATGGAACCTAAAACGTTCTGCTATGAATAACGGTTTTGGGCTCAAATGTTCTTGTAGAGTTTTTACTAACTCATCATACGTTTTCTCAGATGGCTTCGTTGGTGCGGTCAACCCACGTAACAACGAATATGTCGACCCACCCACCAAACTCAGTAATGCCGGAACTTCTTTTCGTTTTTCACGTCGTTACACAGAAAATACTGCTCAAGGCGTTCACTGTAACTGTCCCATGTTTCGATGGAGCTATCGAAAATGTCCATGCGACCGATTCTCCCTGGGGGGGGGGGGGGGGGGGATACAACACTGAAACCGCTTCGAACAGCTAAATAGGATAACCCTAGACAGTTTCTGGGCTTCATGGCGTTACTTACGCAACCTTGACACTTTTTTACATAATTTGTTTGAGTCCGTATCTATGTCTCGTCGCCAGATGTGTTGTGTTCTACACCATTTGGCAGGGAAAACCAGGAGAGCCGCCATTCAGGTCAAAACAGTATTTATTGAATATCCCATGATGTATTGCAAGGCATATACTTATACAGATGGATCCGGAATGCGGACCGGAAGTCATAAACACATAATTACAACAATTACATAGCAAACAATTACGATTATTACGTGGTATACCAATCCATCTATCAGTATCAATGGGTAATTTTAAGTTCGACATTCTAAATTTGCTGATAATTATGCGTTCGCTGGAATTAAGCTTAACTTGATATGTTCAGAACAAAACTGGTTTTTAAAGATAGAGTAGAACTGTCCACGAGACGAAGAGTCAATAGCAGGGAACCAATTTTTAATAAATTGATCACATAGACGTTTTTTAAGCAAATTTTTTGAAGAGTGATCTAATCATTGTACATGTGTTTTGGTATATATCCAAATATTAGTAAACCCTGTGTTATTAAGTAATGATTTTATATATCCAAGCCATTTAAATTCTGCAGTATTATTTTCTTGCATTTTTAGTATTAGGCGATAGAATACACTAGATAGCTTATCTCCTCCTGTTATTAATTTATGCCAAAACATTAGCATTCTAACTTAAATTTCTATTTCTAATGGAAATTTGCCCAGTTCGCCATACACCATAAAATTTGGTGTACTACTTCGAACATGTAAAATTTTCTTACAAAATTGCAAATGATTTTTTTCAATGATACTAACATTTTCAAATCCCCAGATTTCACATACATAGAGTAAAATTGGAGATACTAGCGAATCAAAAAATTAAAGTTGTAAGTCAATAGATAAAGGAATATTTCTTATTTTGGTATACACTGCAAACAATGCTTTCTCTGCCTGGTTAGCTAACTGTTTTTGTTTTGTTTTAACGAATGATCCATTATAATTAAACAATATTCAGAGATAAGGGTAAGAATCATCACGAGTTATTGGATCATCAAATAGTTTAAAATTAAATCGCCGTCTGCTTTTCCGTTTTTCAAAAATTA